AGGAGGAGGAGGAGGAGGAGGGGGGGTGGAGGAAGAAGGGGAGGGGGAGGGGGAGGAGGAGGAGGAGGAAGTGAAGAAGAAGAAGAGGAGGAGGAGGAGGAAGAGGAGGAGGAGGAGGAGAAGAAGGAGGAAGAGGAGGAACAAGAAGAGGTGGAAGAGGAAAGGCAGGAGAAGTAAAAGGGGAGGAGAAGAAAAAGAGGAGGAAGAGTACAAGAAGAGAAGGAGGAGAGGGAGGAGCAAAGAGGAAATAGAAGAAGCAGAGAAAGAAAAGAATTAAAGGGGAGGGAGAAGGGATAGATAGAGGTAAAAGGGAAAACAGAAAAAATAAGTTATGTAGGAAGAGGAGGAAGACGAAGAAGGAGAAGAGAAGGAGAAGAGAAAGAGAGGTAGATGAGTAAGAGGGCGGGAGAGAGGGGAAGGAGAGGAGGGTGAGGGGAAAGAGGAGTTTGAGAGAGCGCAGGGAGGAGGAGGAGAGGGGAGGGGGAGGGGGGGGAGCAAGTGGTGAGTCACAGCTTCAGAAACGAGTGTCATCTACGAGTATGACGTCACGAGTAGTTCTCTATCTTTTTTCTTTTTTTTAGTTTAATCATTATATGTGCGCCTGTCTGTCTATCTGTCTGTCTGTCTATCTCATTTTCTTTCTCTCACTCTTTCTTTCTTTCTCTCTCTCTCTCGTTCTCTCTCCCTCTCTCTCTCTCTCTCTCTCTCTCTCTCTCTCTCTCTCTCTCTCTCTCTCTCTCTCTCTCTCTCTCTCTCTCTCTCTTCCTCCCCTCCCCCTCTCCCTCTCTCTTTTTTTCTTCTGTCTGTCTGGCTATCTGACTCAATCTTTCGTCCCCCCTGACCGTCTCTGTCCGTCTGTGATTCATATTCATTGCTCCTTTGTCCGTCTGCATGTCTGTCTGTATGAATTATTCCTTCTGTTTTGTATGTCTGTGTTTCTCCCTTCTCCCTCCTTCTCTCATTTCCCCTCACCTTCCTCCTTTCATTTCCTTCTCCCCACTCATCTCCCCTCTCTATCCCCCCTTAATATAATCAGTCCCCGAGCAGCCACTTCATCCACGAGACACACACACACATACACTCACAAACGCACACACACACATACACATACACAGACTCACACACACACACACACACACACACACACACACACACACACACACACACACACACACACACACACACACACACACACACACACACACACACACACACACACACACACACTCACACACACACAACAGCACACAGCACACACACGCACACACACACACACACACACACACACACACACACATACACACACACTCACACTCAACACACACACACACACACACACACACACACACACACACACACGCACACACACACACACACACACACACACGCACACACACACACACACACACACACACACACACACACACACACACACACACACACACACACACACACACACACACACACACGCAATCAGCATTCACTACAATCGTTGAAATAACAGCGAGAAGAATTCAGAGCGAGCGAGAAGGGGATAAGAGAGAGCGCGGGCTGACGAGCACAACTTCAAGCTTAGAATATTGATACAGCTGTTTCATGATCACGAGTTATGGCCTTTTTTTTATTATTATTATTCCTCTTCGTCTTTTTCTTTTTCTTTTTTCTCTTTCTTCTTCTTCCTCGTCTTCTTTTTTTTTCTTTTTTCTTTTTCTTTTTTTCTTTCTTCTTTCTCGTCTTTTTTTCTTTTTTCTTTATCTCTTTCTTCTTCTTCCTCGTCTTCTTTTTCTTTTTCTTTTTCTCTTTCTTCTTCTTCCTCGCCTTCTTTTTCTTTTTCTTCTTCTTCCTCTTCTTCCTTTTTCTCTCTCTTCTTCTGTTCTCATAATTTTGCTTCTCTTTGTTGTGACCCTGCATTCCCTTCCACTTTTTCCTTTCTTGCCTTTTCTTTCTTTTTATTTTATTTTCGTTCCCTTTATTCACCTATCTATTCCATTTCCTTCCCGTTTCTGTCCTATTCTTTCCTTCCTTATCCTCTCTCTCTCTCTCTCTCTCTCTCTCTCTCTCTCTCTCTCTCTCTCTCTCTCTCTCTCTCTCTCTCTCTCTCTCTCCCTCACCCTTCCCTTCTCTATCTAATTCTCCCCAAGGTACATATAATACATGTTAAAGTACCTTGCTTCACCCGCTCCCCCCCCTCTTCCCTCTGCTCCTCCTCTTCCTCTCCTTCTCTCCCTCCCTTCCTCTCACCCTCCTCCCCTCCCTCCCTCTCCCGCAGCCCCTCCCCCTTCCTACTCTCCCTATTCCTCTCACCCTCCTCCTCCCCCTCCCTTCCTTTCCCCCTCTCCCTCCTTCCCTCTTTCCCTTTACCTCACCCTCCTTCCCTCTCTCCCTCTTACCCTCCCCCTCCCTCCCTCTCCCCTAGCCCCTCCCTCTCCCCTAGCCCCTCCCTCTCCCCCTCTCCCTCCCTCCCTCTCCTCCTCTCCCCCTCTCTCCCTTCTCTCCCTCC